AATTCAAATTGTTTTATCTAAAATGTTTTATCTCTTTAAAAGAACGGATTAAATAATTCGTTGCGCCGTTCGAATAATACGAAAATTTCTAAACAGAGGTTGAAAAATAATCGAGGATTTAGCTTATTGCCTATTTGGCTGACGCGCGTTTACTTAGCGTAGGTCTCCGTAGCATTGGTCCGCGTAGAACGCACGATACTTATCCCCACCGTGGCCACAGTACCGCTGCCAGTGCTCCTAGTACACGTGTTCGAACTCTCCTCGATCGTCTCGCATCGCATCGAATCGAACCAGCGGTTCTTCACCTTTTTATTTCTCTAGAATCCCCTCCACCCCCCCCCCCACATCGGCCTCGGCCGCGCATCCGAGATTTAAATCTGCGAATCGTATCAACGTTCCCAAGCCCCGATTTAAATCCGATTACTCCTCGTATACAGAATCACGATTTTAGCGATAACAAGCTCAAATATGTCGACACAAAAGTGATAATGAAATCTAGTGTCCGATAAGGACTACGAAAAATCGCAGGTGCCACGGGCGGGCAGTTCTGTTTAATTCACGTTCGATTAAAAATCGCCGTTAAACGCGACGGAGGCTGTTGGTAACTCGTCGTTACACCGTAATAATAATAGATCGTGGATTGTCAATAATGGCCTTGAATCATTGGTACATCGTTGGCATTCACGGACAGCCAGTCGGGAGATTCGCGTTGCACCTTTTCTAAAGCGGAATACCTGGTTGACGTAAAGTCGATAGAAAACGCGTATCGATGATGCGTAATTTAATAGTGCGTTCTTCGTTAAAAATGATTAAAATCAATCGGACCAGCGAGAATCTGATTAACACTAGAAAGACTGAAATTTAGTATATACCTATATTGCCCAAAACCAGTCAAAATGACTTCCTTGGGCAATCTAGTTTTAATGGCGTAATTACTTCTTGACTTCACTTCATTCCTACGCTGGAAACACGCGAAATCTGGACAATAGATTCATTCTATTATTTATAAACGTATTTCTTAAGTCCATTAACAAAATGGCTGACTTTCGATGGGGGCATATTTGAAACAACGAGCAGTTTTAGTGTTAAGGAATTAAATATGATTTTTAGGAACTCTTCGGTGAATCTTTATGAAAGTCGAGTGACGATTAATGCAATTTTTCCAACTGATAATGAAATTTTTCCACGTTCCTTTGTTATTCGAGAGCGTGTTTGATGAAAGCAAACTTTTAAAGCCAACAACGCGTTTCCCTCGGTCGTGTGCAACGTCCGCCGCAAGCGATTATTGCGTTATCATCGGTCGATTCGCGGACCGATTATTAGCGACGTATGCGATTTGCATGCTGCAAGTCATCGGCACACGCCGATTCAGCGGCCGTCTGGCGTCGTGTTACGCATCGTTTCAGGTGCGAATTCAATCGATTCAAGTATGACTAGCTACAGTGATCATTATTACTCTTTCATTTCCTTACTCATATTTACCCATTGAGCTATAGAAGAAAACATCTGGAGTGTGGCTGTTAGAAGTCGTAGGATAGAAGCTTCAAGAAGCGAGAATCTCTATTCTTCTTTTTATATTCTCTGTCTCTATTTGTATTATCTTGAAGTAAATTTAATTAGGGTGGGGATAGAAGGTCAATATTCGATTGAATCACTTGAATTTATAACATTGTCAATCACTCGAAAATTTTATCAGTACTCAATCATCTGGTGTACGCGTTTGAGTTCAGTAAACATGCATTATACACCTAGAAAGAGAAAGACATTCCTTCACGGTTCCTCTTTGTCAGTGAACATCCCCCCCATTCATTCACACTTCAGATGTTTCATACAGCTCAATGTATTTACTCCCAAAAATTGACCTTCTCATGAAATGGCAAAGAAATGGGCAAGTTTGAGATGCCTAATCTCTATGATCAATGAAACAAAATGACACCTAGCGGAATATTTAACAATATATTTAACCTAGTAGTTATAATCAATGAAACAAAATAACTGCTCATGGAATATTTAATAATAATATATTTAATTTGATCTTAGAAAATAATAATATCCATTCCTGTG